GGAGGGAGAGGGGGCGACAAATTGAGAGTGGTCACGTGCGGGGCGCCCTGTTGTTGTCCTGGCCACCCACCTCGTCCTCGCATACAATGGCATGTTTGAGTGCGTGTGTGTGTGCGTGTGCGCGCGCTCTATCGCCCCCCTCCTCACCCCCCCCCCCTTTCCATCCTCCGTTTAACTCAGCTGCTGAACCCGCGCTGCTGCTGCGTGCCGTGAGGAGGTGCTGCGCCCGCCTCTCTGTCCTTCGAGAGGACACTTTTCGTGTGCGCCCGTCCCCTCCCTCCGCATGCAGAGTCCGTGTTACACGTTACACACCACGGCAGCGCAACTTGTTGGCCGCCTGTACGAGCGCAGCAGAAGGGTCCCTGCCGCCACAGCGGCCGCCACCCTCGACGGGGCCAGGACGGGGCCAGGACGGGACGGCCGCCGCCGAGACTTTATCTGCCGCCTTATCAGTGCGAGGCGCCCGCCTTTTGAAGCCCCCGCCGCCCCGGCGGCCTCCGCTGCTTGGTTTTGCACGGAGAGACGAAGGAGGGAGCAAGAGAGAGCGAGAGGAAATGGCCGAGAGAGAGATAGAGAGAGAGCTAGAGAGAGAAGAGAGAAGAGAAAGGGAATGGCTGCAAGGTGTGCGATAGCAACAATAACCCGGACAATACCCGGCCCGACGTGGCGGGCGTCGCGCTGCCCTCGTAAATCAAACGCATAAGAGTGTCCGACCCGGCGCGGCACGCCACGCCACGGCGTCGCCACGCGAGCCAAAGAAGGAGGTGCCGTCGGGACCCCCTGCCCTGTGCCGTGGCCCCCCAACCCCTCCCGCTGATCCCCTCCGGTTGCACCGCGCGGGCGCATGGCTCGCAAAGTGATCGCCCCCCATCTCATCTCCCCCTCTTTTTGCAAACTTCATTATCGTTTTCTTTTCTCCTTGACTAATAATAATTTTTGCTCGAGAGGTGTCTCGGCGTGATTTACCGCCCACTCGGATGCGACCGCGTTTGATCGAGGGATGTATAGGAGGAGGAGGAGACCCAGACAGGGTGAAGAGCATGCAGAAGCCGTCCGGAATCCGGAACCCTGGTATGTCGCCGAGGTTGTCGACCGCATAGAGTCCCCTCTAGGGACGAAGCTCCAGGGATCATACAGAAAGTGCGTCCGCTTTCCTCAGACTCATTCGGCATATATCAGGAGCTCGCCGCCTGCGAAACTCGGGGTAGGCCACCCCGCAGTACACACATGCACTGTAGGCAAGATGTTGCCTACCTATCAGGCGCCATGAGTGCTAGTGCTAGCATTCGCTGAACTTCTCAAGGTTCGTAAGGGCGTATGATAGACCTATTTTATTTCTTGATGATCACCTTACTTGTCCATGACAACGAACTGCGGTTGACGCGGAAGCGAATGGCGGCTCGAGGTTTGGGTCGCCGCTGAACACGAGTAGCTCGTGGGCGCGCGGCGGCGGGGCGGGTGCATCGACGTGGACCTGACCCGCGCCCGGAGGCCGGGCCCACACGGGCGATGAGTGATGGCTTTCACCTCAGCCCGGCCTGGCCTGGCCTGGCCTGCAGGGCCGCATGATCACTCAATCCGTTTCACCTCACGTGCACGGGTCTCGAGTGATTACCTTTTGTGACCAACACTCAGTGAAATAAAAGCGTTAGCTGCGCCCTTGGAAAGTGCAGCCCTCCCACCACTCTCAAGCCCCCTTGGGTTTCGCACACAACGCTAAACGGCAAAAAGACGATTAGGCATAACAATTTCCGGCGCGCGACAGCAGCATCGCGCATCTTACAGGACCGGACGCGACGCTAAAAAGACTTGTTTCGACGAACAAATCTGATTCTATTTGATCAAATGCAAATCAATTTTAATGGCTTCGAATAACTTTGAAACAGATTGGTAATCAAACGTCCTTCAAAAATTCTTCAAAAAAAAGTGAAAAGTTTTTCAAAAGTTATACGCCGACTCCGACACGGTGGGCGTTGTTCGTCGATGTTCTGGCGAGTAGGCAACCCAGCCGCACCTCTGCTTGGCGATACAGTGCTCTGAAGCGCGCATCCTATACGCCCACATGCCCAAAGTTCCTCAAGAATAACTACACGACATCGCCTCTGTTTCCTCGTTACGGAGGTTCCCCGGCGCGCACGCACGCCGCGCGCGTCAGCCCCGAGTGCGGTACGTGAGTCAGAGCCCGGGCTGACAGCCAATCAGATGGCTGGACTCATTTCCATATTTCAGGCCGACGCCGCTGATTGGTCGATAGGATCACGTGGCACGCACCTCGGCCAATGCGGAGGGGCGGTCCATAACTCATACGGCCAGCAATGAGCAAAAGGCAACGCCGCGCGGATAGCCGCGAGTTGGGAGGACGAACCGCCGCGGATCACAGCAGACCGGAGTGAAAAAAACAACAACAAAACAAACAAACCTTTCAAGTCCAGGAGGAGGATATAATCAAACAAGGCGACTGCACGCGGCGGGATCTGATCCCGGGGGATCCCCATAAACTTTAAATGACACCTCGTTAATATGCTGCGGCTGGCGCTGCCCGGCCCCGCCAACGGCCCCAATGATTAACTTGTTGGTTTTGGCGTCCAGCAATAATTGTTCGTGTTTGGGGGCGGGCCGCCCGCCACGCCACGCCACGCCACGCCCAGACACAAAGGAGTCATTCCTCTTTACATTTTGTGTTATTTTCATTAAAGCTTTTTCCGTTTGCGACAGAAACGTCCGCGAAGCCGCAGCCGCCGTCGTGAGGGCGTCGCTGTTCCTGCAGAAGCTACAATATGTCGGACGGAGACAAGTCGGAGACAAGCCCAGCAGCAGCAGCAACAGCAGCAGCGGCAGCAGCGCACTCCTCGACCACCTTCTCAGGCGCAGCGTTACTCATTGAATGCTGCGTCAGGCTCCTCTCCCCTCCCCTCAGCTCACCTCCGGGCCGCCCACGCCGCGCCCGGCCCTCATCATGTTTATTTCGCACACGGCAGCCATTTGTTGCTCGATGAGGCCACTTTGTCAGACACCACGTCGCGGCAGATCATTGCCATCCCGAACGGCAGTGATTTGTTCAGGAGGGCAGCAGTTTCCTGGGGAAGGGGGGGGGGGATCCCACGCCGCGCCCCTCGCGTCGGCAGCCTGAGGTGAATGTGACGGAGAACGGTCGTGGAGTGACTTAAAGAAAAGCCGTAAACACCAAGAGATCTGCGTTCTTGATTTGAGCATGGTAGTACTTAAATATCAACTGCCCAACTTTCAACTAAATTTTATATAACCTAAGGGTAACCATTAAATAACAAACTTCTCAATTTTTAAGTTCTACATTCTTTGTTTAGCGTGGGTGAAGAGGAGGCGGGAGAGCTGATGCGGAGGACAAGTAGTGGCGTCCGGTCGTACTTACAGAGTGGCCAACGGTAGCTGGCCAAACATCTCTCCGCCGCACCGCGGGTCCCGTACGTCCTGAGCGCCAAGGTTCCTCCGCCAATGGGCGCAGGGGGCGGGAGGGGGTAAGCCGCGCGTGTGGGAGGCAAGTCCCCGCGTGTAAAAAAGCCCCCGCTGGCAGTCCCGCCGCGCCGCGTCCGGGTCGTTGGCAGTGACACACAGAGGCAATAAACGATGGGATTCTGTCAGGTTGAATGTCGCGCTAAGAAGTCATAAGAGAGCCTCGGCCTGGCCTCATGGCTCGGCGCACGCGCACGCGCACGCACGCACACACGCGCACGCACACACGGTCGCGCCCAACGGGACCGAACCGACAGCCGTACTTACTTACTTATCGACCGGGGGGTTTAAATTTCAGAGGGGAATAAATCTCGGGTTGAACCAGGAGGAGGAGGTCTCACAGGAGTACCTGCTGCTGCCTGTGGCCCGCGGGGCCGCGCCCACCCGCGCCCACCTGTCGCCTGCATGACGTGGAGCCAGGAGCTGGAGGGGGGCAGCTATGCGCGTTCAAGTCCCCAAACTCGTCATTCATTAAGCAAGTACTCGACTGGTGCTTGCTCGGTGCTTGCAATAATACTCGTACAATGATTGTTTACAAGTACATAGTTGCACGACGAAGCTTCGCTCAATGTCCGTTCTGAACTGAGTCAATGTGCTTCCATGCATACCAAAGTTGATAAAACTCGGCAAAACCAGACTCTAGTTTCACCACTTCCAACAGGGCGAGCAGAGCCAATAACGGGTCCTTGTTCGGGGACGCGTGAAAAGCGTCAATATAACAACCTACCCAACAAACTACTGGCGCCTTGCACTCTTTGCGGCGGGTCAGGTTTTCTGATTTTCTGCCGCTAGACACTTTCAAACCGAAGTCGAGGAGAAAGAAACCACATTTGCGCGTTAACTACGATAAATTTTCGTTTAATAAAGCAGCCCTCGCCAAGTAGATAGGGGGAGGGGTTGTCGTATGTGTGGGTAGCAGCTGCACAGCCTTGGGCCAAACACCTAGTAGGGGCGGGAGGGGAAAGGGGGTAAGTAAGTAGACTAGGGTTGACACACGAGCCGCCGGT